TTTTTTTCTAACAAGCTTTCTTTAGTGCAAATACTGTAGGCTTGTCTTACAGTAAGAACAAAGTCATCATCAACAACAACAACACGATACCCCCCAGAGATGCTTCCAAGCAGAGAGACGCCTCAATCTTCCAAACTCTACAAACGGCTTTTGGTCCTGCCTGGAGAGGCTGGGCTGGGAGTCTCCGGGACCATTTCACTATTACTTTTTTTTTTGGGGGGGTGGGGGGAAGGGAGGAAGGAAGAGGTGCTCAGGAAGGTACCAAAATGCCCACACTGAGCCACTCGGATCTTGTACAACTTGCTTGCCTCTAGGATCTTCTAGCCGGCTTCAGTCCACGCCACGGACAGAGCTCAGATACAGAATACACAAGGCGAATGGCTTTCCACTATATACCAAAGTGCTATCTATCTATCTATATATATACCTCCCGCCACAGAAAACACCACCCTGATACCTAGTCTATACAAAGTGGAATATGTTCTTCCTCAACATCAAGTAACCACAAACTAAAATAAATGGGAGAGGCTTTTCATCGGACAGGGAAACCACGGTGGGAGGCGAAGGGCGGGATCATTCGCTGTGGCCAGTCGCCGTGCGGGCCCCACGGTGGCCGCTGTCCCCAGAAGAATGACCATCCATCTTTAGAAACAGAACCCTTCTTCGTCTTTTTATACAGTTTGTACAGCACAAGTCACACATCGTTTGAGAAACAAATAAGCATCATTAGCCGGGAACTTAAGAAATCGAGAAGGAAGGGGCGGGCGAGGGGAACTCAGTATGTTAATGCTATCTGTTTCTATTCGGGCTTGGGGTAACACAAAGAAGATGTAAACATTTAAAATAAATAATAAAATAAATGTCAATCTCTTCTCCCACCTTTCCCATGTCCCCCCCTCCCCCTCCACACCCATCCCGGCCCCTCCTGAACCCGTCAGCCCTGGAAAAGTTAACCGCCCCGTGGCTGCATGGCCTGAACACTAGAAGCGGGAGAAGATGCCGGGTGAGAGATGACTGGGTTCCCTTTACAAAAACTGTGGGAGGACAAGGACGCGCTCACACACAGACACACACCTATCTGTCAATAAATAGCGAGATGCTGGCTGTCCGGACGAACGCCAGAAAGACTGAACAAGCAGAGAGCATCAAGAGCCCGTTACTTCGGTGGTAAAAAGCAAAGCTCTACACACCACATAGCCCATTGGTCCACAGATACTCTAAGGACTCACGTTGTCCCTCCCTCCATCTGTGGAGCACATCACGGGGGTGGGCGGGCAGCGGAAGGACATTGCAGGGAGGGCTCTTTGAGAACTAACTACAGATGGATGGCAATCTTGCCTCGGAGGAGAAAGACCCTCGCACCTCCCAGAGTTTTTGTGATTGCCTCTCGGCAACGTGGGGACCTTTCAAAAGGGGGGAGGTGCCCTCCATTGCCTAACGAGGGCATAGGAGGGGGTCTTCAGAAAGCAGTTAAAGGGTCATGGTGTCTTCCCACAGATTTTTGAAGCCGCTTCATAGGAAAGTGCCTAACACAGTGGCCGGGCACATCCGAATCTACCATCATCGACGCCAGCTCAGAGCAACCCTACGGGACAGAGTAGCATTGCCCCTGTGGGCTTCTGAGTCTGTAAGTCTTGATGGGAACAGAAAGCCTCCTCTTTCTCCCTCGGTGCAGCTGGCGAGTTGTGTCACTGGGGGAGGGAAGTAGCCACAGGGTAGACGCTGGGGTTGCAGGAGCATTGCTGCTGCTGCTCAAGGAAAGGGGGGAGAGGCCTCACCGGAGCCCACAGCCCCCCTCGGACCGTCCACCCACAGCCAGAGGAGCAGAGACAAGACTCCATCCCCCAACGCTCAGGTGGCTCTACCCGGCCTTCTGCCGAGAGAACACGACCTGACCCTTTGAAAACCGCCCGGGAACAGTCTCTGCTTGGAGTGGGCTCCAGCCGTTTCCAAAGCTTCACCCAGGGTCTCTTTCCTTTCCTGTGTCAGCAGTTACCCCCTCCTCTTAGCTGAGAGGGCTGTTCCCAGAGAGGCCAGCCAGGGAGCCGCCACCGAGGGGACATGCCCACTGAGGAGGGCCTGCCCTGCGCAGGCCCCGAGCGAGCTACCTGCAGCCCTTCTGGAGTCCTGTCAGCTGCAGTCCCCACCCAAGCCCAGATCACCCCCACTCCAGCCGCTCCCTGACTCGGAGCAGGCCTGGCCCAGGTCTGGGGGGTCAGTCGGAGTGAGTGAGCTCACCAGAAGGGAGTAAATCGATGACCTACTCATGGCCCAGGTGTGAATGCCGTCTTCCCCAACAGCCTCCAGCGTGGAGAAATCCCTCCTAGAGCAAAGCCAGCGAACACTGAATTGGGACACACCGGTATTGGCTGGGTTTGCCTGTGGCTGGTCTCACGGCCCACCCTGCTGGAGACTTCCACAGAGGCCAAAGGTTTGCCTCAGGAAAGCCCACCTGGCCTAAGTCCATGGCCAACCTGAGCATCAGTGCTGGAAAGTGGGAAGTAAAGAGACCTTGAGAAATCAAAGACCAGAAAGCAGCTTCATTTAAGACAGAGATATGTACGTAGGCAAGAAGATGCAGCCCTCTCCCCCTTGGCTACCAAGACTCTTTGAGACGAAGCCTTTCCGAGCTGAGGGTGCCCCGGTTTTCCTACCCTGCCAACTCCTGCGTCTGACTAATCTGAACCTGGAGACCCAATGGCCTGGTCTCATTCCGTGCCTCTGGGAGACCAACAAGACATCACCCCCAAGGAATGTGGGAGATTCGTTTTATTTTAAGTTTCTGAATGAAATCATTTCTTTCGAAAATTCACTTCCTTCTCCAGGGGTTGTCCTTGCATGTGCCACGCTCTGGGATGGGTACTAAAGGCCGACCTGTGTGCCAGGTGTGCGGTGTGTGGTCACATGCATTACATAAGGACCAAGCACATGGTTTCCCTGGGTAAGGGGGCAGCCCAGTGAGGCTCTTGCTGCCCGCTCCAGAGTCTCATTTGATCATTTATTCCTCACCGGTCAGATTTAAATAATACACCTATTGTTTTAAATGATCATACAATCGCCCCCCCCAGGACTAAATCACCAAGAGTCATCTCCCTCAGAGCACCAGGCCAGCTGGGGCCAGTTATAACCAGGAGCTGCGTCCCCAGACAATGTGGACAGAAAGGTCAGCAGGAGCTGTACCCAGCAGAGAAAAGGTGTCTGAGTGGCGAGACAGGGCTGGAGCTGGGGCCCAGGGGCAGCTGAGAAAGGTCCCACACTGACAACCCACAGCTGGACACAAGCCATTGCAGCGGCTCTGGGCCAGCTGCTCAAAGCTTGCTGACCAGACCTGGAAGAGAAGACTTGTGGGGAGGAGGGGAAGAAGCAGGCAGTGAAAAAGAGGCAGCACTGGATCCACCAGGCAGCAGATGACCACAGAGGGCAGAGAGGGCCCAAGCCTCCCTGAGACCAGTGCACAGTCGGGGCAGGAGGAACAGGGCCTGAGGCTGCTTGCTGAGGCAACCACCACTCCAAAGGCCTGCCTCCCCCCTCCCTCCTCCCCTTTCCATCACAGCTAATGCTCCCGAGGCTCAGGGAGGGGCCCCCTGGCAGCAATCTGCGAGGGTCCCATGCTCATTAAACCTCCGTGGGTGGTGTCACCCTGAGAGCCAGGGAGGGGGACGGGCAGGGACTTGGAGTGCTGCGTGGTTCCTAGGGAGGGACACCTGCCCTGTCTGGAGAGAAGGGTCCAGGGGCAGAACGGGGAGGCAGTAATTACAGGAGACGCCCTGCTCGGCTCAAGACACCAGGTGAAGGGAAGCCGGGTTAGCACACCGTGTGGCTTCGTTGGCACTATTCCTGGCCTGGTAATTAGGCGCTTTGGCAAACCCAACCTGTGCCCAGCTGTCTCGCAGCACCACCAAGAGCTGCCTTGGGAGACGGGGCGGACCCCCGTCCCCCCGCACCCCCCACCACCAGTGTGCGAGCTCAGGGAGATCTGCTGGTGGTTCTGGAGGGGATCGGGACCCGCCCCCCGGGTCAGGGGAGGGAAGGTTCTGTATTGCACATTGGCCTGTCCCCTCTGGACAAGTCACTCCCCCGCCCCGGCGGAAGAGTCGCCTGTGGTCCCGTCTGCAGAAATGAAGAGCTTTTAATATTCAGACCACCCAGATGAAATGTCATGGCAAATTTGATAAAAACCAAGGAGGAGTGACGTCTGACATGGGGAGGGGGGGGGACCACGAGAAGAAGGTGAAACCAAAAGCACTGAGCATGCTCGGAGTGGGGGGAGCGAGGGAGGGGGCCATCACTGCAGAGAGAACGTTGTAACAGAGGGGCAGGAAGGGTCCAGACCAGCTTTGGGATCTTCAGAAGCCAGAGAGATGGCGGAGTCCACCCATCCACGTTCTCCAAGGCTTTTCAAGATACGGGGTTTGCTTGCAAGATGCGTTGAGGGAGGGAGGTCCCTTGACTTCCAAATAGATCGTCCCGAGGTCCTCTGTCCCCTCGCCACCAAAGCCCACTGGGGTTCTCCCCAGAGCCAGGCAGCTCGCCGCCACGGCAGGCTCCTCCTCTTGCCCTCACGGCCCTGGAGTGCTTGAAGGTGCTGGTCCCTGGGAAGGAGGCAGTGCTGGAGGAAGCCCCCCGCTGGGGCTGGGTCACAGAGCCAGCAGAGTCGGGGAGTTCAAGGAGTCCGAGGACTGGTCCCCACTGCTACTGCTCCTGCGGTGAGCCTTGGAGCAGGACTCGGACGGCGACACTGGTGACTCCTGCTCCAGGACACTGGGGTAGGTGAAGACGAGGTTCGAGGTGCCTGGCGTGATGGCAGGGGTGGAGGTCACCACAATGGGGGTGTGGAGGGGCTCCTCCCCGTAGAAGCCCCCCGCAATGCTGATGGGCTTGATGACAGAGCGCTGGGCTTTGTCGAGCCCGGCCGATGAGGACGAGGGGCTGTCCTCTTCCAGGGGCTCCTGCTTCACCACCACAGCACCCACACCCCCGCCCCCTCCACGCAGGGGCTGCAGCCCAGGGGCCGGGGGCGAGTGGCGCTCCTCGGGGCTGATCTTGCACACGGGCCCGTGGGCCACCAGCATAAACTCCAGCTTCTCCTTCTCCTTCTGCAGCTCTGCGATCTCCTTCTGCAGCCCCGACTTCTCCTCCTCCAGCTCCTCCGTCTCCTGTCAGGGGAGAGATTGGAAATGTGAGGGACCAGCCCAGGGCCTGCTGTGGGGTGGCTCAAAGCCAAGGGAGACAGGGAGGGGAGCCAGGGGCTCAGAGGGCCACGGGGACCCCCTGTTCCGGCAGGCTGGCGACCCCGTGTGTCTCTAAGGCCCAGAAGGGAGAGGACAGGAAAGTCCACTTGGACCACGGGTGGATAGCAACTGTCATTTTCGGCATGAGTGAGCACATACTTTGGGCCGGGCACCTTGTTAATCAGGGCACAGGCATTAGCTCGCTCCATCCCCATTTTGCAGATGAGAGAACAGGTAGACTATCTTGCCCAACGTCACAGAGCAAGCACGTAGGATAGTCTAGATTTGAACTCGAAATATTGGTCTCCAGAGCCCACCCTTCACTAAGCTCTGCTGCCTTCCGTGGCCTCCAAACTCCAAAACCCAATTCATGGCCATCGGTCAGTTCTAACTCATGGTGACCCTATAGGACAGAACAGAACTACCCTTGTGGGTTTCTGACACTAAATCTTTCCAGGAGTAGAAAGCCTCATCTTTCTCCCATGGAGCAGCTGGTGGTTTTGAACTGCTGGCCTTGCAGTCAGCAGCCCAACTTGTAACCTACTGTGCCTCCACGGTTCATTGGGTGGCCCCAAAGGATTCAGAGGCCGATTCTTACCAAGTGGAGAGCATACTACAAAGCTCCCCCTGCCCTCAGCCCCCCAGCAGCCCCTCAGGCAAACAGAGACTACACACTGTAAGCTCTGGATGCAAAGTCTTGGTCATACACATCCCTGTGTCCCTGCATCAGAACAGTGCCCAGCCCGGAGCAAGTGCTCACTCAAGACTGGCTAGGTCTTCTCACGTGCCCTTCCTCTTCTCCTGTCTCCATCACGTGCTGAAGAATTGTGTTCCGGGGCTCACAGAGACCCTGGGAGAACCTTCCAGTCAGCCCCCTTGCTGGCCAGAGGCAGAAACAGATGGTCTTTGAGGGCAAAGTAAGGAGACTGCATCACAGCGCCCCCGCTTTGTCCCAAGAGCCTTGTCTGTGGGGAGAGGAGTATGGCAGAGGCCTGCTCCCCACCAGCCTGCTCCCCGCTTTTCTCCCAGCCAGGATTCCCATCTGGGGCAAGTGCTTCACTGAGTGGTGATCAGCATAGTTCACAGTGAAAAAAAGTTTCAAGGGTCTGACAACGTCATGAGTTCATGAGGGGTTTCCCGTGGAGGAGGTGGCTCAGGGGCCCGGCAGCTAGCCCTGGGCAAGGGGTGGCAGGGGAGTAAAGTGTGGGGTTTCTGGGCAGAGGGCTAGAGGGCGGAGGAGGTGCCTTGGAAGCTGAGGGCTTTTCTGGGCTGGTGTAGGGAGCTGGCAGAGACACCAAGGGCCCAGGGCACAGAGACCAGTCAGCCGTGGGACAGGGTCTCCTGAGAGTGTATCCCTGCCCGTGAAGTGCCAGCACCTCCAGGGGACAGGACAGACACCCCCCCCAAGGGGTCACTCTGTGCCGAGAGTGGGGGCTCCAGGCGGCTTAGATGAACTGATGGGAGGCACAAGACGCTCTGTGACCTCATCCTGGCTGATGACCACAGGCACCCCTGGCAGGCTCCTCCATCCCCTCACTGTGAAAACATCCCACCCAGGAGTATGGGCCCTGGCCCTCCACAGGCCCACAGCCCTTCCTACACACCCAGACTCAGCCCAGAGGTACGTGCCTTCAGTCAGGCCTGGTTCTCCAGAGGGCAAGGGAAGGTCGTGGGCCCCCAGGTGAGGACAATTAGGCAATATGGGTGCGTGACTCACAAGTGCAGGGTGCACATACCCAAGGCTACCGCTCCAGCTCAGCGCAGAAGCAGGGATGTAGGATACGATGCTCCCTTCAGACCCAGGGGGCATCGAGACCTCTACATTCAGCCTAGGGAGCAGCAGGGAGGACAAGTCCCCCCAAGTGCCCAAGTCGGAGCACCAAGGCCAGGCGGGACCTGTGGGGGGAAACTCTGGAGGGGGCAGGTCTGGGCCTGCCCTGGCCCCTGGGGGACCAAGGTCGCTGACACCCTCTGACACCCCTCACTCAGGATCCCCAGCAGACCAGGGGGCCAGACCAGGCTCAGACCCTAAGTGCAAAGAGCTGCCAGGCTGAGAAAGTGACTCCCTCTGTCACTGTGGGCCAGGCGGACGGAGGCCACAGGCCCGGGCCTCTCTCTGTGCAGTCAGCACCAGGCTAAGCCTTGCGCTCCCAGAAGAACTGTCTCTGTCCCCACCGACTGACTCATCTGTAGGGTCCCAGCAAGCAAGGAGCAAGAGGGAGGCTGAGGAGAAGCCCTGGGGGCCTCGCTGCAGCCCACCCAGAAGCACCCCCACAGCCCGAGAGCTAAGGTCTCACCGCCTGCAGCTTCTCTGTCAGCTCCCGGCGGCGGTTGCGGCACTTGGCGGCGGCCAGCTTGTTCCGTTCCCTGCGGATGCGTCTTTTCTCCTCTTCTTCAGGAGATAGCTGGAGGCCAAGGCGGCGAGCACGATCAGGTCGGGGCAAAAAACCCATTCACAAGCACTCGGTTCACAACTGTTTTCTGAGTAGGGCAAGAAGCCCTCCTGGGACTGGGGGCTGCAGGGGTTGGGCCAGCGAGGCCTGACCCAGAATCACATGGGTGCGGAGCCTGGAAGGGTGCTGGGAGAGGGATGGTCTAGGAAGGGAGGGCTCTGTTTCAGAGCAGCAGCAGGCCAGGGGCTCAGCAGCCCAGCCAGGAGGGTGGCCTTGATTCAGGGACAAGGCCAGAGAGCTCTCTCGGGGCACAGGGTCCCCCGGAGTCCCCTCCAGCCACTGCCTGGCCCCACCCACGGAAGCAGCTTTTTCCAAACCCTGGCTAATCACTCTGCTCCCCATCACCCTGCTTGCTCTGCACGCCTCATTATCCCCATTTGGGTAAAGAGCTGGCCCTGAGTCGCCCCACCCACCCCTACCCCAGGTGAGCATCATCAGGGGGAATGTTCCAGTGCCCACGGGCATGCCAATTCACCCCCAACTTCCTCTGCCATCCTGAAGGGCCTGGCAAGGTGCTAGGCTAGACAAGGGGTGCAAAAGGAGGAGAAGCCAGCAGGCACGCCGAGCCCTGTTACCCACCAAACCCCCTCCGTCCACCAAAGAGGGGCTCCGGTTGGCAGCCCAAGGCCCAAGGGCTGGGGCTAGATTGGTAAGCCCGACTCTCAGATCCCATCTGCCAAGAGCCTGCAGTGAGGAAGGGCAGGGACCGGGCCAGGCTCACGCCAGAGGCCAAGGACTGGCGCGCTGCCCACACGCAGCCCTTCCAGGGCTGCGACCCCCGGCGGTGGCTGTGGGCCAATCAGACAGCCAATTTGAAAGGAAAGCCCATCACTGAACTGGTCTCTGAAGGCAGAGACCTCCTCTGGTGGCAAGTGAAGCACTGGGCCTTAGAAGGGACCTTGCAGAATAAGACCTGGGTCCTGCCATCCAAGAGCACCCAGTGGGGAAGCTGAAGTCTCTCTGATGGGTGGGAAGCTGCCCCAGCTGTCAGTGGCCCAGAATGGAGAATGGAGGGAGCCCTTGCCCAGCTCCGGCCCCTGGCCCTCCTGTCACTGTGATGTCCCCGGCAGCACTGCGGCAGCCCAGACCTGTGTGCCCCGAGGTGCCTCTAGGTCCCCAGGGTGCCAGAGGGCCTGTACCTAGCGCTCAGGGAAATGTGCCAGCCTCATCCTACCTGCCCTTCCTTCAAATAAAGTTTCTGTGATACTCAAATGGGACCCGGTACGGGTACTTTCTCTAATCAGACTCTGGTGATCCAAGTCCTAAAAGAGTCCTACATGAACTTGAGGCCCACAACAGACTCAGGCCTCTGTGCAGGGGTGGGCTGCCCAGCCGGGGTTCTAAGGCCACTGGCAAAGGCCCTGAATACTTGCTGCTCTCAAGCATGCCTGAACCTGTGCCCAACAGGGTTACCAAGAGAGCCGTATGGCCCGGGTGCAGTTCTGGGTTTAGGCTCCCTGCTGAGAGGGCCAGCAAGCCCCTCGGGTCCCTCACTGGTAAGGAGCAGGTGGGAGGGAGGGCGGGTCTTAGTCCACTTCCACTTCCCTTCCCCCTTGCCTGCTGCATCTGGGCACCTCTGCCTCCCAATTGGCCTGGAAGCTGCTCCTCCCCAGCCGCCTCAGCCCCGTCTGGTGAGGCGAGGGGGAACACGGGAAGATTTCCGCAGGGAAACCCCAGGGGCGGAGAGATCAACACGGCTGCAGCGTGGATGTGCCAGCACACCGGGCACACACCCACCTGACCCCCTGCCTCCGCAGCCCAGTGCCTCAGAGGAAGCCTCCCAGGCAGGTGCAGGAGGGCAGCTAGGGCACCAGGCTGGTACCCCATAAAAGGTGGGGTGGGGGCGTTGAACTGAAGAAGGATCCAGAATAAAGGCCCTCGGGCTAGAAACCCTGATGGCCAAGGCTCCAGGTGACTGTGACCTGGCTTCCTCAAAAGGGTTGATGACATGACCCCTGGAACTGCACTGAGGCGACAGACACTCTGGGCCTTCTCCCTTCCTCTAGCTCTCTCTCAGAAAGGAGGAAGGACATTCTCTAGACAGTCCGTGGAAGGGCACACCTATGTAAGCTGGGGGGTCAAAAGAGGTAGATTCTAGGCCTGGCTCTGCTGTGGGACCCTGGAAAGGGCCCTTCTCTTGACTGGGCCTCAGTCTCCTCATCTGTGAGATTGGTCCAGGAGGGAGAAAAAAATAGAAAAAATGGCCTGCCAACGTCCTTTCCAGATTTAAACATTTTAATTTAAGCAATTTTAATTGTGCCAGGCCCAGGAGGGCGTGAAGAGTGTTGGGCACACCTTGCTCTGTTGACTTCTAGCTCCACAACTAACAAAAAGCAAACACGCTGCCACCAAGGTGAACCCTCCTCGACCTGGCTGGCCCTCCCTCACTCTCACTGCCACTGAGTCCATGCAACACGTGGACACTTTATAGGACAGGGGAGGTCTGCCCTTGGGAGTTTTTGAGCCTGTGACTGCGTGCCAGGGGAGAAAGCCCTGTCTTTCTCCAGCCGAGTGGTTTCAAACCGTTGACCTGGTGCATCGCAGCCCAACACATAACCACTATGCAGCCAGAGCCCCAGGGCTCTCCCTCGGGGTCACTCACATCCTGGGCAACTCCAGCTAGCTCATCAGGGACTATTCACTTTGTACCTTGGCTTCCCTGGAGGAAGCACATTTGTAAATGATATTCTGATCACTGCTACCGCACTATTTATAACGGCAATTATGGAAAGCAAGAAGGGGTATCGGCCACTTGCCACGCCAGCAGAACCCAGGCCATGACTGTGAGCTGTAGCCACTGCTACCCTGCTAACAGCAGTCTCTGTTACACGTGTGTCTGTCCGTGTCCCCCACCCCAGGCTGTGGGCCCAGCATGAACAGAAGCAACCAACCGGGAGGGCCCAGCCTCTTCCCCAGAGAAGCAGAGCTTCTCAGAAAGCACTGATTCCCACTAATTCTAAGTATGCTGGAAACTCCTGGCACCGGACCGGTGACCCACCTACTCCCCACCCCCTGCTGGGGAACGTGTGGTCATGTGTTGGAAAATGACAGGGCCCCAGGGCCTTAGGATGGAGGTGGTGGTCTGTGGGTGAGACGGGGAGGCCCTCCATGATGACATCTCCTTAGCAACGGGGACCCCACCGCTGAAGCATTTTCCACCTCGGGGCTCCAGGAAGCGGGGCGTGGCGCCCACTGTGTGACAAGTGCTGCCCAGAGAGTCCCCTCTCACATGCTCAGTGACCCCGTGACTGTACCATTTGTGGCGGGGCAGAAGGAGCTCTCTGAACACCAGCCCCTTCTTGTTAGAAACATGCCACACGTGGCTTCTCTTGGGGGACAGGAATGGGGGGCAGGGTTCCCCTGCTGCCCTGGCTTACTGCTGACTGGGACAATGGGCCGCAGCAGGGCAGAAGCCCCTATTTCCTAGGGTGAGTCCTCCTTGAAGCTGAGCCCCTTGGAAGAAGAAAGCCTGGGGTCTGACCCCCGAGTCCTCACCCTACCGGCTAACACAGCTGAGCAGAAGTCTAAGACGCCCAGGACCCCGAGTGCTTCTGGGCGTGTGTTCCAAGCACCCAATATGGGCCCCTGCTTTAAGTGGGAGCCTGGGGTCCTGGGGAGGACAGGAAAATCACCAAGGAGTCCGGCCCTTTCACCTGCACCAGACATTGGGAGACAGCTACGTGAACCACGGCTGGGGTCCCCCTCGCTACAGCTCTTCCCCTCTGTCATCGGCCGATTTAGGCTTTCACATCCTCTCATGGAACACACTCTGTCCCTCTGGCAGGTAGTCTGACTGTGGTTTCCCAGGGGAGGAAGCGGAGGCTCAGGGAGGTGACATCCGTCTCCAGCTCTGCCTGCAGCGAGGAGGTCCATGTTGTCCCCGCCCCCCCAACCCCCTGTGCCCTGTGTGGCCTAGAGTCCCAGTCTGGGCGGTACCTGTTCGTCTCTCCTCCTGCGACCCACAGTGGTGCCGATGGTCTTGATGACGCCGGGTCTGGGGAGGGCCATGTGGCCCGGGATGGAGGCCAGGCCCGGCAGGGGGCTGTAGGGGTGTGAGCGGGAGTACGGGCTGGACATGGAAGTGATCACCGTGGGCTGCACCATCCACTGCAGGTCCTGGCTGGTGGTGATGGCGTTGATGGTGGGGATGAAGGCACTGCCCGAGCCAGGCATATCTACCCGGAATTTCTGGAAGGAGGAGAAAAAGACAACTGAGTCCGAGGAATTCTGAGTGGAACAGGGCAGGCAGATCGGAGAGGTGCGTGCCAGCAGAGATGCCCGCTGGCCTTTCTGAGCCCGGTCTGCACTCGTCAGACAGGGCAAGCTTCGGGTGCCTGGGCCTCTTGTCAGCTCCTGACCGGGGTCTGAGAAGCTCTATCCTAGGGGGGTCGGGAGGATGTCACTGCCCCTCAGCTAACTCCCAACACAAATGCAGCTCCCAGCTGGTCCCCCTAGGGAGCCCTCAGAGCTGGGAGCCACCTGCCAATTTACTTCCCAGGGTTCCGACTCAGGGCACCTTGAGGAGACTCAAACACTAGCAGGTCTGGAGTAACCATTGTCCCTTTTCCAAACAGATCCAAGATGGGAATGTGACCGGAGGTAGGTGACACCAGGTCTCTGATCAAGTGTCCTCCAGCCCATGGGACTGAAAGGTGGTGGCAGGTGCTCACAGCCAGGCTTCCTTCTGCTGCCCTGGTGACCCTCCTCCTCTCCCACCCCACCGCCTACCGCCGCCCGCATCTATCTATGCTCACAGACGTGTCTGTGGGAGACGCTGGGGCTCCTCGCTGCACGCTGTCTCCCTGCCTCTCAATGGATGCCCAGACCACGCTGCAGAGCTCCCTGGGACATGCTGCAGGGAGCACGCTGTTCAAACTAGAAGATGAAGCCAGATTTTGAAAATGAAACCAGACTGTCTTCCTCTGCCGTGGGGCAGCTCCTGGGAAGTGAGCAAAGGGGGGAGGAGAGAGGGGGCCTCCACTTGCAGCTTTGCGGGAGACTCAAGAGGCCACACTCACTGCCCCTGAGCTGGTTCCAGCTCACTGGGACCCTGCAGGACAGAGGAGAACTGTTCCTTGGGGTTTCTGAGACTTTAAATCTTTAAAGGCCCAGATAGCCTCATCTTTTCTCTATGGGGCGGCGGGTGGGTTTGAACCACTGACCCTGTGGTTAGCAGCTCAATGCATAGATCACTAAGTCACCAGGGTTCCTTTTGGGGAAGAAGGCCCCAAATGAAACCCAGGTGACCCTTCATCCTCAGATGATTCCTATTTCCACCACAGGGTTCTCCAACCCGTTCTTCCTTGACCTAGCGACTTCATGACTGTACCAGTTTAATGGCCAGCACTTAGTGACTAGAGACATGCCCCAGGAAGGGGTTTTACCTAGATTACCTCATGACGTCTCCCTCTGAGGTAAGAACTATCATCTCCATTTTAGAGGCAGAAGTTTAGGCGGAGAGCTATTAAGAGACTGATTCACGGCCTTGTGGCCGACAGGCAGCGGCGTGGGGAGCAGGCCCAGTCCGGCCCGGCAGGGCGGGTGAAGCGCTGAAACCAGGCGCTACACAAGCTTTCTCAGTACTGCTTCCTCCTCCCTGGAAATCCAGACCCCAAGACAGACATCTGGCCCACCCTGCCCCAGGTCCCCGCGGGCCTGCCCTCTCACCAAGGAGGCTGCTTAGATTTGGGTGGCCCCAAATGAAATCCCATTACCACTACCACGGACCTCCCTGGACCTCAATCATTGCACCCCCAGTTCTAGCCCGAGCAGAGCAACCACAGTTAGAAGAATCTAACTGCCTGCGATATGTAAAAGGAGCTTTAGGATACCTTACAGGAGCCGGGGACTCTCCTGCCCGCTCTCCCCGTCTGCCTGCCTATCCTCCGTATGGATCTGTGGCCTGTGGCTGTCTCACATCCAGACTGCCCAGGCCCCCAGGCAGTGAAGAGCATGGCCAGGCCAGCCCAGTGGACGCTGGGATTCTGGGAGGAGAGCTGCCCAGCATGATAGCTTCTAGAACACCATAAGGAGTGTATCCAGGGCAATGGGCTCTAGTCTTGGACCTCTGAAGGCAAAGTTGTATCAGGAGCTGACTGAACTGAGTGTGTGTGTGTGTGTGTGTGTGTGTGTGTGTGTGTGTGTGTGTAAGAGAGGGAGAGAGAGAGAGAACGTGGGTGGGGGTGGGAAGGGTTCAGTGAACAAAGAAAAATCCAAGAGGGAAAATAATCTTCAAAGAAAAAAAATACACAAATTGATTCCAACCCATAGCAAGCCTACAGGAGAGTCGAGTGCCCACGTGGGTTTCTGAGCCTATAAATCTTTATAGGCACCAACAGCCTCGTCTTCCTCCCTTGTAGAGACTGATGGTTGAGAACTGCCGACCTTGCCGGTAGCAGCCCACTGAGTAACCCACTAGACCACCGGGCCTCTGTGGTCTGTCTTCAGGCAGGAGGCAGGGGCTGGAGACCAGAGGGGCTGGGCTGTGAGGAGGCAGAGCATTTGGGGACCCGTGGGCATGGATGGGAAGGTGCTGAAGCCCTGAATTCCAAAAGTGACGTTCCTCTTGGACAGCTGAATGGGCGGGGCAGTGGGAGGAGGGCAGCACGGCTCTGTGGGCGAGAGGAGTCCTGGGTCTGGGGCCCTGCCCTGGCCACTAAGTGCTGTGCCCTTGGCCAAGCGATGAGGACTCTGTTTCCCCATCAGAAAGAGCAGTGGGAACACCAAGCTGACCACACAGTCATGAGAATTAAATAAGCAACTACAAAGAGGGGCCACCACAGCCCGTGAGGGACGACACCCGAGGCTCAACCTTGCCTGCACATTATTCTGAGCAGCTTCTTAAAAACACCAGGGCTGGCCTCACCATTAGAGTTCTGAAATAATTGGGCTAGGGTGGAGTGCTGATAATAGGATTCTTTTTTTTTTTTCCCCCAAGCTGCTCCTAAGGAGGTTCTAATGCTCAGCCAGTGAGGGTTGGGAAACACTGCTCCATGCAAATAGAAGGGGGCGGTATCATCCTCGTCCTCGCAGGCATTAGAAATGTCTCTGTGCTCTACACGGGGTAGCCCCTGGGACAACTGCCAGCCCTCACTCAACAGTTTGTTCCCATTTCTCTCCCAAAGTCAGGTTCTGTCTCAGCAGACCCGCCTGGGGCTTTATGATATGCAGGCATCCAGAACCATGGCATGGTGTCACCCCACCACCTCTAACGGGGACTGTCAATTTGCCTCTCAGGCCAACACCCAGGAAATTCACACTCCATTCCAACACACAAAACTACCCCCCCCCCACACACACACACACACACTGCACTCCCCGTTTCAGTATCAGGGGGCCAGCAAAAAAAAAATCTGAAGCAACATTTGCAGACTCCAATCCCTCGGGGAAGAAGTTGGATGGTCTAAGGCCCCTTCCGGGTCTCCAGCCGGTCTACAGATGGTTCTCCCAGTGCATCCCAGACAGAGCGCCGGCAGCCACCAGCTTGGTCTAGAGTCTAGACAAAACAAGGCGGCAATAAAAACAAGGTGGCAGGTAATGACGGCTTCGGAAGGCATGCACACCTTGTTTCAGGCGGAGGTAAAGCCATCCGGAGAACACATTGGCTCCAAGCTGTTGGGAAAACAATGTCCCATCCCCAGAGGGGCCTGGGGTGCTGATCAAGAAGGCTTTTGTCTCCAAAGAGGAGCCTCTCGGGATGGCACACACCAGTTTACATTAGACCTGGCAGCTGTGTCTGGTCTCCGCTCTGAATGTATTATTCACAAAGTGGCACTGGGGGCGGGAGGGGTGGGGAGAGGGAGGGAGGGGAGAGGCCTTCCTTCCAGGCCAGCCAAACCAAACTCCCTGCCATCGAGCCGAGTCCAACACGTGGTGGCCCCAGAGGTCCAGGGTAGAATTGTCCCTGTGGGTTTTTTTTCGAGACCGGAACTCTTTACAGAAGTAGAAAGCCTCGTCTTTTTCCCAGGGAGTGGCTGATGGTTTCAAACTGCTGGCCTTCCGCTTAGCAGCCAATATGCAAGCTCTATGCCACCAACCAAATGTCCCGGTGGAGAGAAGACAGGGGTCCCCAGGAAGGCGTTAATATTGAGACACGATTTCCCAGCTGGGGCCAGAGGGTGGTTTCTCCTACTGCTGCACCGGCAGGTGTGTGTTGGGGTGGAAGGCAGGGGGGATTACCCGGATCTAACCTGGCTCCCCTGGGGCTCTGCAGCCCCTTGGAAGCTCCCCTTCTCTGGGCACCTGAATGAAGGTGCCAGATGGCTGTGATCGTCCTGCCTGGCAAAGCTTCCACACGCCCTATTGCCCAGTGTCCTCCCAGCCCCCAAGGATGTCTGGGTAAGCAAGAATGCCTGTCTGAGGTCAAAGCAGCCCCCCACAAACCTCCTATGGCAGTTTGTCAGGCTCCAGCTGTAAAGGACCAGCTAGCAAATCTATGAAGGCTCTGTGGGGCCCACTGGCTCTGTCGCAATGACACAGCCCTACCTCTGTTGCATGAGCACAGACACACGCAGTGGACACACACGCTAACAGGCGGGGTTGCGCCCCATTAAACTTTATAGAAACGCTACCCTGCTGGAGTTGACCAGCCCTGTCGTGGAGGGCTGTGCTCAGGCTGTAAGGGAAAGAATACAGAGAAGAGAAACTGAAGCAGGAACACAGCGGGCGGGATGCCTTGCCCTGGGAGTCCAGCGCTTGGGCAACATGCACTCATCCTCTTAAATCTCAAGGGCCCCAAGACTGAAGTCCCAGCCCCTCTGCGGGCCTTGCTGTCTGTCCCTGGGCACCAGAGCCTATTTCACCGCATGGCCCCCTGAATCTGCAGGTGCCATGCTCTGCTCCAGAAACTCCTGAGTGCTTCTGCCACCGCCTGTGAGGCAGCCCGCTCTAACCCCGAGGCCCCGCAGTGCTTGGCTGGAGCCAAGGACCTTTCTGGATGACAGTCGAGGCCAGGATCAGAAAGGGGTGTCCCAACCGGGGCCTCTCACTACAGGGTCCTGAGGCATGGAGGGGACGGGGGACTTCTCCCCGAGCCTCCTGAGCTGGGCAGAAGTGGACATCAGGGTTGATGTTCTCGGTCCCATGGCCGCAGCGGGCATTTCTTCTCCAGACTGAGTGTTGATCGACTGGGCCACCAAAGACTCCGGCTGTGACCCCTGTGGGTTCTGGGACCTCTGTCGCCAAGCAGA